TAGGCAAACGAGCTCCTTTTCAACCATCCAGTTGTTGTTATTAATTTTCCAACGAAATCGGATATGTCAAACAAACAAATTCCATATTAATATAATCTATGGAAAAATGAAACTTCAATGTGCTACAAACTCGTTACATGTAGGAAGTCATCCGGTCCTAACTCTTCCTAATACGCATTTGTAAGCCGTTTGAAAACTGTCCCAAGTAATAAAAAGTTCCGCATTCGACAATAAATCTCACTTCCAAGTTCCATAAAGTTCAAATAAAGTTCCGACAGAACTTTCAAGTTCCATAAAGTTCGAATAAAGTTCTGACAGAACTTTCAAGCTCCATAAAGTTCAAATAAAGCTCCGACAAAATTTTCAAGGTCCATAAAGCTCAAATAAAGTTCCGACAGAACTTTCAAGTTCCATAAAGTTCCAACCGAACTTTCTTCCCAAGCAACCAAAAGTTTCGCATTCAAAGATAAAATATTCTTTCACGTTCCATAAAGTTCCGATGCGTACTCCTAGCAACTTGAAATCCAAAAAAAGTTTCAAAAAGCATTCCTTAGCACTCTTAGGAACTTCAGACAAGGCAGAAAGTATGGCCACAACAAGGTTCCGAACAAGTTCCCAGCGGAACTTCTTAGCAACTTTAAAGTATCTTAAAAGTTCCCTGCAGAACTTCTTAGCAACTTTAAAGCTTCTAAAAAGGTTAGTCATAGCCCACATGAAGCAATCCACACAAGTCAATATTCTGTCCCAACAATTGAAAAATAAAGAACAATTTCCTGGATTCAAGCCGTGCATTCGGCATGCAAACTACGCACGCTAACCACTGTGCCACAAGTATGTTGGAATACCATACGGGCAAACACCAATATAAAATTCACGCAGAAAGACTGGATTTAATTCTTCAAACAGTTCCCAATACTAATACTAATGCTGATAAATCAATACACGTTCATACCTGCCTTTAGCAATAACTTTCATAAAGACTTGACTTTAGAATTAACTTTCATAAAAGTGCGAACTAAATATCCCTCCCCTTGGCTAGTTTTTTAACCTGGACGTTGGTGGGCGGGGCCAATTTTATGCTTCATAGTGGAGCGTTGGAGACAGTTGGTTTAGGTCCGGCATCGTTGGCTCATACCTTAACAGAATAGCGTCATGAGGATTACTGAGCTTCCGCTCTCTGATGAACCATTGCATAAGAGAACCAAAGTTCTAACCTGAAGTGATAGTATCACACTTGTTACTCCTTTATTTGAAAGCCGCGTTGTAGTACGCTTACGTATAGGCACTGACGTTGGGTGCGATACTGGCGGGTTTTGCCGCAAATCACTCTTATTTTTTTTTATTTTTTCGCAGATAGATTTATTTGGGTTTGCAAGGGAATTATACTATTGAAATATTTCAGAAAGTGCCCAACAGTGCTCCTTTTACATGCGTGACAAGCTTTCGTTGTTGTTTTCATTGAGGTATTACTTAGGGAACAATGTTAAACACCATTTTTGTACATGGTTTTGCAACTAATCTTATATGTGCCTCATTTTGATTTGGGATAAGTGTTTGAACTATGGCTCGGGATTTCCACTGTGGCGTGCTTCTATTGTGACATAACCATACGTTTTTTGTGGTGCGACATAGTGGAAACGTGTGAGCGTAGTTGAAGCATATACCCTATGTAATTTAAAAATCAGCTAGGAAACTAACTTCAAAGTGAAGCATTTTAGTCACTTGAAGGTGTCACCTGGGACGAACTAATATATATTAAATATAGGTCAAAGTCAAAAACAACTTGAAGCACGTTAAATTTTAGATTACATTCACAAGTGCAGGTACTTAATAAAGCATGGTAGGTAGATTAGAAATTTCAATTGTTTATTAAATTAGACTAAAGATATCATAATCATCAAACGAACTTAAATAAGAAAATTTAGACAGCCTAGTAGCATTAAGTGGATTAACAGAAGAGTTAGGATGCGGAGGGTCCACTTAGGGAGGCAACTAGCCTTAAAAGCAACTGGAAACTAGCCTTTTCATGTATTGTCTATTTATTTTGATTATTGCTTTAAAATATCAATTTAGTATATATGTGAAAGGATGAATCAGTGGGAGATGGATTTTCGGTTTCTTTACATTTAGCATCACTATGTGTCATTTCCTCAAAACCCCCCAATAACCGGCCTCTTCAATCCCTTCCTTTTCCCATGGCGTTCAAGTGGTCCGCATAGACTATTCAGCCATTACCCGTCCTTTATCCTCGGCTTTGGATTGACTTGCGCTCCCATTGCCCCACCAAACGCTGCAAAATGAAAATGAGAATAAAAGTGCGAACTAAATATAGAATTGGTGTAGAAGACAAAAACCTTTTTTTTTTCTTACTTTCTAAAAGTTCCATTCAAGTTCCGCCAGAAGCTGCTTAGAATGCTCTTCAATTAAGGTACCGGAACTTTGATGTTCTTATAACGAATTAAAAATGAGGCTGCTTAATTCTATAGACCACCTTCAACCAAGCAGCTTAAGCCTCAAATAGCCTTTTATCTGAACTTCTGGCTACTTGCGGTATGCTTTTCAAAACTTATGAGCAAATTTGTCAAATTGTGGTAGGAATTGCATCAAATAAAGGCGCCGGCAAATATACAATATTAAATCTTAAATTGTGTATGATTGTGATGCTTTAGATCATATTCTATATTTCCGTGATCCGTAAGGAAAATTTCAACAGACAAACAGTATTCCAAGTAAGCCATTTCAAGAATGAATATAAGATGCTTTACTAGTTGCATCCCACTCTGAACTTTGTATTGCTCACGATGTACTCAAAAATATCTTATTGATAGGGGAAATGGATGTAATGTCGGCCAAAATACCCCTAATTTGGGCCCATACATAAATTCAGCAATCGACTAAATTTTCAATAGCTACCAAAAATATCAATTAGTACCGTAGTTGATCTAGATAAAATTGATAAATAGCAGATTTTTAGAGATGGGCCCAATCTTAGGTCCATGCACCAACATAAGAGCCATTTCCCCTATCTAGGATGTCTGAAAATACTTAAAAATACTTAAGAAATATTTAACATAAGTGTGTTATCTCCGTTGCTACACTAATTTCATTTGATTGGAAGGTCGTTAAAAAAAGGGAATTTAGGCCGACATTACATCCATTTCCCCTATGTCAACTATCTGAAAACTTCCCCTGGAATATTGTACCTATTTCTCCCCAGCATTCACCAGAATTCTTTCTGGCTTCATGACTTCAGACTTCCATATAGTAGATTTGTCTGACTTCTCCAACAACTGTCTTCTGACTGCCCTTAAAAGTCCTGCTGGTTTACAATGAACAATTCTTCCGATTTTCTGCAAAAATTCCTTCGAAATAACCCTTAATTACCTTTAATATTCAGGCTAAGACCTGGATGTGCGTTGCTGTACACAGAAGTTGTCTACATTTCACTCGATCTGTGATTAAATTTAGTTTACTGATAATTACCAAAAGTGTAGGAACTCAGCGATGAGTCTACCTCATGTTTTCTGTGGAAACCTCAAAAATCTGCCGGAAAATTGAGGAAAATTGTCGAAAACTTTACTCAATCTGGGAGTATTACCAATAGACTGAGTGAACCCAATATTTAATTACCTCATATTCGGGGATTTGTTCCTGGACAAACCTGGCAAAACATGAATCAAATTTACTCATTGCTTGAGTTCCTGCACTTTATGCGATCTATGAGTAAGCCGAACTCAAATTTGGGTCATTCTCATTCGCCGAGTGGTCGATCCACCATGCCCGCTGCGCACCTCTTCGTCATCAATATTATTTCGGTCGGTTGTCAACTTTCTGCTAATCGTGAATTGGGGAGCATTTATTGCTTCAAATATTTTCGCTTTTGAGTTGACATCCCACTTACTGTTTGATGAATTAGTTTAACCGATTTGAATTGAATTAATCCTCTCGGTTGGATACCATCAACACAATTTCATTTCCTTTTCCGAGCGCCTAGAATGACGCAATGTTAAATGGATCGTTGTGCAATCGACATGTAATCGACTCTAACGATGTATCAATCTTACATGGGGTAAAATAGCCATCATCATATCCCGATAATGGATCATCTCCAAACTTGTGTCCTACCTTTTCCGACCGGTCACATCCTAAAAATATCAGTCACTCTCTCACCAGGACAAAAGAAAGAAGCACCCAAACCACCATTTAACTCCATTTATTTAAGTGCCATCAAAGTTCTGCAACCACCCGTGGACATCGAACAAAACACATTTCCACTTAAGCCCCCCTCCACCCTGCCCTATTCCTCTAGGTCCCCCAGGAAAAGAAAGAAAATCGTGCCAAAATTAGTGACCCCGTGAGTGTGACGCAAGTCAGCGCACCACCACCGACCACCGATCGGCAACAGCAGCAGCAGCAGCAGCTCGAAGATAGATGATTATGATTGTGACCAAATAAAAACTACTGATTCATACCCTTCGGCCTCAACAGCATAAAACCGATGAGAACACTTTCCTCGCGCCATCACAGTCATCGGTTGTGGGCACTCTCTCTCTCTCTATCGGTCACATTTGCTCCGCTGTGTTCCGAAGCCGAAGGCCACAAACCGGGCTCACGTTGGCTCTTGCTGTCCCTGTCTAGCGGCGATGACGCAAATACTCACAGGACAACGTCGCTGGCTGCACCAGCAGACTCCTTTCCCCCCTTTCTCGTTTGCCAAAGCTCAACAGCTTCGAACCACCAGTTCAAAGTGCGGACGTGATGTTATTCCAACCATCATCATCCCCATACCGTCTGTTGACTTTTCATCTCTACTCTCTACTCACATGCTTCCACCACACCACGATATCTATACAAGGACGCACGCTCTCTTGCTGCGACTTTCACCGACAGCCGCAGAACAATGGACTCTCCGGTCCGATTCGGAGAAAAATTTACCTCTTAACTAGTGAAAACAACATAAAAATAAACCTAACGGAAACATTTCTCTTCTATTCCAACAGGTGCACAAGCAACAACCATGCACACCTTCCTATTACCGCTGTTTGGCCTGATGGCCTTAGGTAGTGCATCACTGAGCTATCCGGTGTTCGGTACTAAGCGGTACACTCGAGCAAATCTACTTCCAGCAAACGATTACGGAAGCTCCCTAACGGTGCCAGTGTACTCCCCCGTCCAACAGTACTACGATCAACAGCCACAACAGTACCTGTCGATGCCGTCGTACTCGATGGGGCCCGCCGCTTCGGATTACTACGACGACAGTGGCTATTACAATAGTAATAATTACTACTACAACCCTCCCGTGCAGCGGCGACACCAAAGACAGGACCGATACCCTTCGTACGGACTTCCAACGTACCGCGGCGAGTACAAACCTACCCCGTACTACTACGCACACGCTCCCAGCTATAGCTACACGGACGACCACGAGTCCAACAATCCCCTGGATGACCTGCACGAAGAAATGCTCCAGGAGGACGAACGCGAGCGTGCGCGAGACTATCAACCCGTAGGTCAAGAACAATGGTACGAAAGTCCCTCGCAACATTCTCCCGATTCCGCCTTCCTGCGCAACCTCATCATGTACAACAATCAGATGAGTTCGCTACGCAATAAGCAATTTGACTCGAACGAATACTACGAGGAGTACGAAGATGTGGAACCGGACTACTACGACACCCCGTACGCTGACAATCGAAACACCTATAACAGCTACGTCAACCCGTACACTGGCAGCACCAGCACTGGCAACAGTAATAACCAAAATCCACTTAACAAAATCAGCAGCTTGCGAAACAACATGGCCAAGAACGCCGTAGAAGACGACGAAGAAGTGCAGGAACTGAAATCTCTCATCCATCAACAGAAGAACAGTCGACTGCTGCATCAGCAGCAGCAGCAGCAGCAACAACAACAACAACAACAACAACAACAGCAACAGCAACAGCAACAGCAACAACAACAACAACAACAACAACAACAACAGCAACAGCAAAGACAACAACAACAACAACAACAACAACAGCAGCAGCAGCAATCGTTTGAGAAGCAAACCCCCTCCCCAATCCAGGACATCAAACAGCACCAGCAACGGTCCCTAGCCAACGACTACCAACAGTACACCAACACCGACAGCTGGCAGCAAGACAGTCCAGCCTACAATACCTACGACTACGACAGCGAATACGACGATAGCTGGACTCATTGGGATAGCAAACGCAACGTTCAACCGAAGAAGCTAATCCTACCGACGGCACCGACGACGACGACGACAACTTCTGCTCCTACGACAACAACCACCGAAAAACCCAAGGTTGAAATCGTACAAGGCCACAACGGGCAGAAAGAGGTGGTGCTACCACGACCGGCTGCACCGATCCGGAATCCGTTTGCCAATGTGATTCCACAGCGGCCACAGGCGGTCAACATGGTAGCCCAACAAACCCACAAAGCCAAGACGGCCGGGTCACCATCGTCGTCATCGTCGTCGTCCTCCACTAGCACCAGTGTGTACGACACGATCAAGAAGATTATCAACATGCAGCAGAATCTGGAGGTAAGTTCGAAGCTTGATTGAATTTTATTGACCACATTTTGATTGATTTTCCAAACTGATTGCTGTTGACTTTAAAAAGTGTTCTAAGGACCAGAGTCGAAGAAAGAAAAATGAGAAATTGATCATTAGGGTGTCCCAAAATATCTATTTTTTATTTTTTATTTATTTATTCGTCAATCAATCAAATCGTAGACTACATATTAACATTAGGACTTATGTTCTTTGACTTCGCAGGGTTATGAAATATATTTTTAATTCTGTTGAGGACATATTTAGGTCAATCATTTCACAATGATGATTATAAACAGTCATCATCTGATTTACCGGTCCAAATTTAGCGTAATTGGTCCGATGGTGATCTACTGCGAACAACTGTCGATTGCGTAATTGTCGGGAAGGTGCATACAAATTTAACCTTGACAATAGATTAGCTGAGTCAATGCGTTGCGAAATGATATTTTTTTAATAAAAAAATCTCTGCGTAATCCCGGCGTTTTTTCAATGTTTGAATGCTGATCAGCAAGCAACGTGCTTCATATGACGGGAGAGGAAAAGCCGTCCAACCTAACTTACGTAGTGCATATAATAAAAATTGCTTTTGGATTGACTCTATTCGTTCTTCATGCTTTTTTATATAGAGTGACCAAACAATGCTACAATATTCTAAAATTGACCTCGCATAAGCAACGTAAAGTGATTTTATTGTAAAAGGATCTTTAAAGTGGAGACCGAAACGTTTTATAAAGTTGAGCACATTGCCTGCTCTATGTATTATTGTGTTATAATGGTCCACAAATGTCAATTTAGAATCTAGAATAACACCTAAATCTCTTACATTTTCACATTTTTGAACATTTTCATAACCTAATGTAATACAAAGATTTCGTTTGTTTAGTTTTCTACTGTACGTTATAAGATTACTTTTTTTAATATTTAGTATAAACTTTTACTACACCATTTGTAAAAAAAACATGTATTTCATTCTGAAACACATTCATATCGTTATCACTTCATATTTCTAAAAATAGCTTCATGTCATTAGCGTATATAAGTACTCTGATATTTTTTTAATAAGAAAGACGTCATTAATGTAGAAAATAAAAAGAAGGGGACCAAGGTGCGAGCCCTGGGGAACACCTGACGTGACTTAGATGACTTAGATGTTTTCTCGTTGAATCTTACAATTTGCTGGCGATCAACTAAATACGATTTAATCCAGGTGAGGAGCTTCATCTCAATTCCCATATTTTCTAATCTAAAAATCAGTATTGGGATATCAATTCTGTCAAACGCTTTGCTGAAGTCTGTATATAGAGCTTCTATTTGGTTACCTCTGTCCATTGCATTTAATACGAAGTTCACAAATTCCAAAAGGTTTATGGTGGTTGAACGGCCTTTAAAAAAGCCGTGTTGTGCACTAGTTATTCTTTGTTTAATTTGGCCAAAAATGTTTTTTTTTTTATAATTGATTTGAAGAGTTATGGAATAAAACCTGGAGGCTCAGCCTTCAAATGATAGGTAAGGGTATTAGAAACACACTTTTGTGACGGCAATTGTGGGAAAATAATAATTATTTTTTTGTCAACCATAAATTTCAGTGCAAAGTACAACACGAATTTTTTTTTATTAAAAACCTACTCAGAAATCATTTAAATCATTTTCTGTGCAAAACTTACAATTTTAAAAGTTGATGTTCTACGATTTTTGTCAATTTTTAAGTGTTCAAGATTTTTAATTTTTTTTTTTGGTTTCTGCAACAATGCTTCCGACGCCAGGGAGACAGCTCCCACACCGTTCGAAAAATTCATGTAAATTTCTGTGAGATATAGCGCACATAAAATTAATGTTAGATTTGGCATAAATTTACGCGATATTTCGTGTAAATTTAAGCGCAATATCTCTTAAATTATAAATATTGTACACAAGCTTGTAAACGATTTCGCTGTTTATGCCAAGTATAACTCAAAATCAAACGAAGGGAGATTTTACGCGATAGTTAAAATTCAGATTTTTTTCTGTGCACACCTGGACCCTACCTATCGACCCACAACTCATGGACCACGAATCAACGGTTTTACTTCCCTTCAAAAGGAAGGAGTGATCAGAGATGATATGCCTCAGGAAATCCCGACGCGCCGACTAGGATTGAACCCAGGCCTTTTTGGGTGAGAGGCAATCACACTTACCCCTACACCACCGGCGCGCTGATTTTGACGTAGACTACGTTTTACGTCTAAAACTGCGATCGTCACGAAAAGGTGTTAGGTTTCGAAAGCTTATAACTTTGTCTTTGAATGATGAAAATATAATCCAAATGAACCAACCGATAGGAAATAACTCTATGAATCTTCTTAAATATATACTTTCCAATTTTCTATAGAAACACTTTGGAAAACTGTACAAATAACAAGTGATAATTTTATCACTGTTTTCATAAAAAAAATAATTGGTGGGGTTGTGTACAAGACACGACCGCAGGGTTGACGTAGACTACGTTAAGCTGTGTAGTGAAATTCACGTCCATTGTTTCTAGATATTGATTTAAAATACAGTAGAAGTAACCTATGATTTGGGTCCCATGTACATATTTTAGATTTCCTACTTAGAAAAACTTGGTTAAATTCAGGACCTCATAAAAATGCGAATACATATTCTATTTCATTTGGTTCCGAAATTACAATCAGATATGAGTAAGGCTTTTTGTTGAAGCGTCCAACAATCACCGTCATGATGGCTGATATTCCCTATCACTTCAAGATTTCTAGGACACAAATCTTGGACGCTTAAATCACTCATGAAATTGAAACTCCTTGTGTACTGCACTGCAACAAACGTGAAGTTCCAGATTCTTTGTTATAGTTTTGTGAGAGCTGATATATGTTTTCTTGAAATAATTCTATTGTAATGAGATTGATCCTCAGCGATTCAACTTCAAAACGCTAAAAATAAATGCACACACAAAAACGGAGTGCACAATTTTGCATCAATGTTAAGCAACATTTCATAGTTGATCGAGATGATGTCAATTAGCCATGATCTCCCTCCAATAAGTTCTCGGTACATCTTTTATCTACCGATTGAACAAATAAAAAAAAATACTAAGGCTGTGTTCCATTTGGAAAATTTTCACTTAGATTTGACACTTCGAAAATAAATTAAGATGTTCGAAAATCCCTCTGTTGTAGATCGGCCGATTTTCAAGAAAGCGTCTGTCAAATTGAATCCTTGTCTGTCAGAAATAAGTCTGCTGGAAAAGCAGGTTTATTTGAAAAATTTTCATCTGTCAAATTTAAGTAAAAATTCACCAAATGGAACACAGCCTTGATAACTTGAGCACAGAATCGTTTCTTGTTGTGTGTCGCATTAGATGCTAGATAAAAACTTCTTTTATCGATATGTGTGCTGAAAATACCTGGGCCGAGTGGATTCAAGAAGAAAGCCGACGAAGAGAATCTTGTCAGTGTTACTTAGGACCTATTGCAATGTTCAGCTTGAATTGTTTCGCTTAGCTGTAAACAGAAAATCGATGAAGAGAATCGAACATTACATTACTTTTGAACGCTCACTGTCGAATTTCAGAACCTAGTACTGAAAATAAACCCGACGGTACCTCTATTTATGCTAAAAGATAAGCATTGCAAGTCCCTCCTACTTGAAGAATTATGATAAAAAAAACTGGGGTTGTATAAACCGTTATATAGCATAATTTTCCAAGTATGAGGGACTTTCATAGCTAATCTAAAAGCATAAATAGAGGTACCGTTTGATAATTTATCACATTTCAAGACCAACAATTGAAATGGCCTTAACTCCATTTTGTAAACAAATCTTGTAAGGCCATTTTCTCGCGGACCGAAGTCCGCAAAGGAAAACCAACATAATGAACAGGTAGGGGAAATTCTCCTCTACCCGATTGTGGTTTAAGTTTGCGAATGAAGGTTTCGGTTCGCGAGAAAATGGCATTACAAGGTTTGTTTACAAAATGGATTTAAAGCCATTTCAATCGTTGGTCTTGATTTATCCTTTTTATCACCACAGAAACACCCCGTTCCCGTTTTCTTATGAAAAATAATGATCATGCGTTCACAAAACGCACGAAATCTTAAAAAAAACCATATTAAGATTTTTTAATTCAATCAATAGATTAAAGATGTACCGAGAATTAAATGGAGGGATTTCAAGCTGAAATGTTCTGATCGCGAAATATTGACTATCAATACCGAAATTTCGCATAAATGTCCAACCTATTTTGTGTGTTGTGTGCTGCTGTCCTCGGCTGTCTTTCAGTGTTGCCCAATGATTAGGGAACTTTCATAAATAACATAGTAGTTGAGGGAGGAGAGCGGTTTCAGAAGTTGGGACAAAAATATACGTAATATATGGATGGCCCTAATTTTACTTTTAGTGCTGATATGTCCTTCCGGAAAGTAATCGAGATTTGTAGTTATCATTCAGGCAAGGCACTTGCGCCATCGAGGCGACGCCGCTACCAGCAGCCAATGATCTCGACGGGAACGACGCGTAAAGTTCGAGGTGCAAAACTCGAATTCTGCGCGCTTGACAGAAACCGCCTACTGCTGCTACTGCTACTGCTGCTACCTGCTTACCCGCCGTCCGAAGCGAAAATGAGTTGAGGCATTTGCCATTTAAATGATCTTTATTTCTTGTGATTGTGTGGTTTACATGTATGAATTTTCAAGTGACACAGATGCGTCTTTTCAACTTTAGTACATTTGAGATTTTAATTATTATTTACAGTTCCTAGTCCTATCAGGCCTATTTTAAAGTATGACCACCTTGGTGGGATTGGTTTGATTTGAATTGGAAAGAGGAGACTACTTATAACTACTATTTACAACTACAACTAACCTACAACTACTATGTAAACCTAACCTACTATATACAAATTGCTTATCAAAGCATGTTCTGATAAATTACATTTTTGTGCAAATTTAGTCTTAATTTCGTTAATTTTGGAATCTATTTTGGCAATGCCTGCCTCTTCATGTAAATTTGTTATTCTAGTGTCGAAAGGACGATCAAGAACCATCCTCAGCACTCTATTCTGAGCGACCTGAATTTTGTTCCTGTGAGTCTGAGCACATGATTCCCACACCGGAGCTGCGTAGAGGATCGCAGGTGCTATGATTTGTTTGTAGACAGCCAGTTTGTTCACCCTTGAGAGGCGGGATCTGCGGCAAATCAGCGGATACAGACACCTAACCAAGGCGGAACACTTGACTACGGTTTTCTCCACATGCGAGCGGAATAGGAGCTTTTCGTCAAACAACATCCCGAGATAGGTTACTTCGGCGGACCACTCAACCCTTGTGCCATCCATGATTACAGTACAAGAGGGAGCCGGTTTTAGTTTGGGTGATTGCCGATGGAGGAACATGATTGTTTGTGTTTTGGAAGCATTGATTTTGATTTTCCACGTGGTGGCATAATCAGCAAAGGCGTTAAGGCATCGTTGAAGTTTGTTCGTTATTTCGCGAGGCATCCTTCCTTTGACGGCTATTGCGGTATCATCTGCGAACAGGAAAAACACGCAACCGTCTCCAAGGGGAGGAATGTCGGAAGTGTAAATGCTGTAAAGCAAGGGGCCACGTTGCAGCCCAGCTCAGACACCACCGGTTGGTGGTCGGAACTGAGTTCGTTCAAGGCTACCGGCTTGGACAAGCCGATATTTGTCAGGAACAGGTCTAGCGTCGATGGGTTGCCCGCCGGTGAGATAAATGTTGGCTCATCCGAAAACCAAACGGAGTACAGCCCATGCTGTGAGTGGTCGAACAGCAGACGACCGTTCTGGTTCTGCCTGTAGTTAAGCCAGGCCTCATGGCGAGCGTTTAGATCTCCTCCTACTAGGAAGCGGGAACCGTTACGGGTGATGGTGGTCAGGTCCTTCTTGAATTTAGTTAAAAGGCCCACGTCGATGCTGTGCTTGCGGAGGAAGTCGGCAAGCTCAATCTTTTTTGCTCTTACAGAGCAAGCATTCCAGGTGACGATAGTTAGCGGTTTAGACGCCATACTGGATGATGAACTTACCGAGCACTTGGATCTGTTAGGGCTTATTGCGGCACTTACGAAGAGCACCGGACATGTTGACGAAAATTTCCATCAGTTCATCCGCTGAGAACAGATCGGGGTTGTTGTTTTGTCCTGTTGGTTGTCTCCAGAATCCAGGGGGGGATGGAGAGCTTTGGCCAGCAGAATCACCGGAAGTTGCTGGAGCGGAATGCACCCGCGAATTCACTTGCCTTTGCTGAGGAGCACGAAGGGGCGGGAAATCCTCCGTTCGAAATGCCGGGACTTTGTCCTTCTTGCGTCCTGATTGGTTGTTAGTGGCCGCCTGTTTTCGGATGCGTTTGAAGTCCTCGCGTTTGGAGCACTGTCTGTCGGAACCTTGATGAGCACCACCACAGTTGGCGCATTTTAACGCCACGGCTCCATCCGCAGGGCAGTTGGAAGTGGCGTGTTCTTGAGCGCAGTTGCTACAGCGTGGCTTGATGTTGCAGTTGCGAGTGCCGTGTCCAAAGTTCAGACATCGTTGGCACTGGGTCACATCGCGATGGCCTCCACGGTATGGCTCCCATCGTACGATTATGGAGAAGATTGAGCGGACAGCCTGCAGCGCATTCAGCGTCACCGTTCCCTTCTGGAAGTGCACCAGGAAAAGACAATCGGGGTACGTCTTCACGTTTTCGTCTCGCCTCGTCATCCGAAAGACAGCGATTGGGGCCAGCTTGTACCGGTCCTTGAGTTCTTCTTCGATCGCCTTGGGATCAACATCCGGTAGACCCCTGATGACTACTTTGAAGGGCTTTTCACCGGGGATGTCGTGCGTGAAGTATTCCGCATTGGAATCCTTCAGGAATTTGAGTGCGATTTCGTATTCCGCTTTCGTCCGGAGCATCACCTTAGTGCCGATCCTGCTGATCTTGTACTCAGCTGCGATGCCCAGCGATGCGAAATCGCCAATGAGCGTCTTGAGTGGTACTACCTTCACCACCAGTGGAGGAAGCTTGACTTTCGTCGCACTCGGGCCGGCAGAATTCTCGGTTTCGACGGCGTCGCCGAAATCACCGATGTCGCTGGCGTTCGTCGCGGTAACATCGTCGCGTCCGCTCGTACCATCGGACTGTCCTTGGTTCTTCTTCCTCTTTTTCGTCCGCTTCACCGGGACTGGGTTGGTATTTCCAACATCGGTGGGAAGAGTAGCGTACCTATTTGAGGTAGGTACCGAGCTACCCTCACCACTGTTCTTTTTCTCCGCTTGGTCACGAAGTCGGCTCCGAGAGCGCTGTCTTCCCATCACGCGATGCGACCGACACTACTGACGACGCGACGTGCAGTATATCTGCGAACGTTTGTAACAAACTATAGATTTATCGAACAACTCGACAAAGCGAGCAAAGACCGAACTGAACTGCTTGACGTTGGCACGTTGACGTTGAGTTGAGGCACATTAGCAGCGCTGTTTTATAACTTTTCTGATTCAAGCAGCACGATGTGCAACCAAATTGTACTTGATTATGAGGACTGGGTTTGGGGAGAACGTTTATTTCATGAAAACAGTTATAAAATTATCACTATTTATTTGTCAATTTTTTAAACAGTTTCTTATGAAAAATTGAAAAAAAAAGTTTATTGCAACAGCTTACGAAAAGTATTTCCTATCGATTGGTGTATTCAGATTTTAATTTCATCAATAAATGACAAAGCTTATAGCGTTCAAAAAATTACACCTTTTCGTGACGAATTTTAGCAAAAATGTGAATCATTGCCCGAAAGATTCAAAATGACTGAACTTTAGCACAAATTTGAATGATTCCCAAAACAAACAATTATGCAAAGATTCATGCAAATCGGAGAAGGTCGAGCTTGATCGATTCGTCATTTTGCGTGGATCGGTTCAATATGATAAAAACATCTTCTCATCAGCAACACAAAAAGAAACAGCAATTTGTTTGGCCTTAAAGTAATTGTAATAAAATATAGCAGACATAATTTTATTAGCTTCTTGCTTTGAAATTTTTCACTAATATAAACAACTTGACTAAACAAATATTTTCAAGACAACTCCAGTTGCTAATACAAAAATTTAAAACTTCAAGTATCTCAAATATTACGTTTTGATTCAAGCTAAGTTAGTTTAACTAACAAATCAGGTTAACATTGATCATTAAATTTCTGAATATAAAACAAGTATTTTTCCTAATCATTTTATATATTTTTAACAAAACCTTATCTCTTACCCCTCTCTTCCGCAGGACGCCGAACTCCGCCAGCAGCTAGACAGCCAACGGCACAAGGGTCGTGTCAACAAGCGGTTCGTCTCCACGGCCGAATCGCTCGTACAGCAACTGGACGGTCTCAAACGGACGGCGTAAATCCAACCTAACACCCAGGACAAAAAAAAACAAACCTAAGGTTAAGCTATTATTTTCTCCAAAGTTGCTAACTTCTCTTCTTCCACTTTCACCGCCTGCTTCATTTCACTTACTTGATAATCCTCTGATACGCCCGATTTTCCCAAAAAGTACACACAGTAACCTTCCTTTTGAATTACACCGTCGCTAAATTTTGCGACATCAAACGAAAAGTTCAACCTTCTTACAAAATAACACAACAAAATGGTGATAGTTATCATAAATGTGGTTTGTTCCAAAGTTTTTCCTTTGCACTTCAGAAGCGTTGCATCATTGAAAAAAAAAGCCTAATTATTGAAAATAAAACGATGAAGCGTTGTAGCTAACAACATTCACACACACATTCACACTGAGACACAAAAGAGAACACTGATTGAGACTGAATTTATGTAAATAATTATAAATGAGTATAACAAAGGTATATATATTTACGGACGAAAAGAGAAACAGGATTCAAATTGATATATTTGAAATTTTTAGCTCTATTTAAGTCGAATCTTTTTTCCTCGATTTTTCCTAAGAAAAACTCTCTCCATACTTGAACCGAACTTTTTACTGTAAATACATTTTCCCTCGAATGCTCATTGCCAATCAATTCAAGTTTTGATTTTGATTTTCAATCAATTGAAACTGAACCCGAGGTGACGCTCGCCGTCGGTCACTTTTACGAGTTGGACTATTTGGAAAAAAAAATATGGATTGACCGGCCGCGACCGTCGCCAGAAAACAGACTTCAGTAAACTAACGATAGGAAAGATAATCGTGTCAATTTTTAGCAACAAAATCAATAGTAGCTTTTTATATTTTACACTTTTGAGTCCTTCACTACATATATATTGATATATTATACACTATGAGGTGCGTTTGTTGAAGTTGTTGTTGCCAGGGGGTACCACCTTCCCGCATGCAACTCACAGCACACGCACCCATCAAAGAACTGCTTCTCAAGCGCTCACCTTTTGATCAAATAAAAACAAACAATACATAAACAAAACTATAATCGTGTTTAAGAGGGATAATCAGACAGCGGAAAGAGACGAAAGACCCTTCCAATGGCAGCTAGCGCCCAAATTTAATCATGATTAAAAGAAACGTGAGCCGATCGACAATCACCCCCCATCGATGGGTTCTACGAATCACCCCTCGAAGGACGATGATTGTCGTGTAAAAATCCAATCAAGAAACTCAGCAGCATTTTTGCAGATCCGATCGGTAAAAAAAACGACGATTATTGCAGCAACAGAATAGTTAAGATAACAAAAGAAATCAGCAGCTATTACCAACAAACATTATACTATCTATATATATATTTATAGGGAAATTGAACTGATGTTTAGTGGACTATCAAATCCAGACAAACAAAGGAGAACAAAAAACTAAACATAGCGTTGCCCCCCGTTCGGAAATGCGGTTTTCGAGGAGGCCGACATCAGTTATCAGAAACCCGTCAGGGGGCGGCACCAACTTGTATATAGTATCAATCAATCAGATCAAAGATAGTAGCCAAAATCAATCATATTTCATTTTCTCATAACTTTTCCACCCGCACATAAAAATGAACCTTCCATCTTCTCCTTAACATTTAACATTTTCTGCCTCGCCAATCTGTCCTATCCCACCCACGCACTGATTAACATAAGCACACGCCTGCAAAACCAAATTCCAAGCACCAGATTCCGGGCCTGAGAACGGGCAGAAAATTGAAATGCCATTTGCCCACTCACTCCAAGAGAGCACATAAAAGAGGTATCTAAAGAATAGAAAAAATGATCGCCGCTCGAAGGACTATGCAGGAGAAGGCCTAACGCAAAATAATAGCCAAACCCTTAACCCAGGCTTTTAAATTGAAAAAAAAAACTTAACAATACCCTAACTACAGAAAAATTCAAAAACAAACACGAGAGCAAGGACTGCATTTAGCTAAAGTAGCACTTTAACTGTTTTTTTATAAAGCTAACACAAAACACATGAGAAACGGACTGCAGGTTTAAATAGTTGACATTGTTGAACAGTTTTCTGTTGGCCGGCTTCGCCTATGCACCCCTCGTCGGCTTTCCCGACGCTTTCTCCCAGGCTGCACTCACACACACACACATCCGTGCACCCAAACGTGTACAATTTCCTCGAGGACAATCGGGAAGAGGAAAAACTACGCTGAGAGAATTCACTGCGAGAGAGTTAGAGAGTGAGAGAGAGACAGACAGACGGGAGAGGGTTCCTCTTGAAAAACCCCCAAGCATAAAAAATGTATATGTACTACCTACCTCACCGAATACCAAGCGCGCAATGACGTCAATCGGCGTCGCGTCGCGTCGCCCCTTCAGTGCTTGCATTTCCACGCATCACCCCTCGGAAGCAGCCACCCCCCAAATACGCTGTTAATTAGTTCAATATTCAAACAATTATTCTTCATCAACATTTCAAAAAGGCGAAAGCACTTTTGTAAACCATGGCTTTAGCCGTCGATTACTCGCTAATAAAAGCCAACATATGCAAACTAACAGCACCATCAAGTAGGCGATTGTTTCCCGTACCAGCTGGAATGGTTAGTTTGAAGGAATTAAGCTTTTATTGGCGAGAGCAATCGTCGGCTACCTACAGTTTACAGGCATCGAATTAACCGATGGGTCTCTCTCTCTCTCTCTCTCTCTCTCTCTCTCACCCTCTAATTTGGTAGTCATTAATTACCATCAAGCATTGGTGAGAAAGAGACAATCGTCCAATAGCCATCGGTCCATTACAGCCGATATTTTCTGTGTCCTCGGTTGACTCGTCGAGTTTTTGAGTCACCTGGAAAAGAAAAGCCTACCTACCTACCAGACCGCTTTCACGCGAGGACATAAGAACGGCACGATTGCCAACACGCAATCCTCGGCAGGACGGTAGGATGTTCGAACGGGGAATTCTCATCCGTGAGCTCAGGAGGAAGCTGAACCGACAATTTATTAACCCACATGGACTTGCCGCTGCTGGCCCTGTTGTTGTTTCGAGTTGATCGGCAATTTATTGTAGGATCTTCGAGAAAGCCAACGCCGCACGTGTTTGTGTGTGGGTGTGGGTGTGGGTGGAAGATTCACCAGGACAATAGCTTCCCTTACTGAAGAACAGTGGGTTCAGTGGCCGCTGAAATTGCTAATTAAATCAGTCATTCAATGAACAGAGTGCCACTTATGAGGTTGTCTGCTCAATCATTGCAGCTTTACGGAGCCATTTATGTGAAGCAATGTTTCTTAAAGCTAAAGTTTTTCTAATGCGAGGGGGAGGGCGATTACTATCGACTACAATTGGTAAGCATGATGGAAGGGGCACATCTTCAGGGGAGACACTGGCGGCGAAATTTATTCCAAGAAGCAATTTTATATGAACCGAATTGATCATTGATAAACACGAAAAGTCTCGGTCAAACTCTGTGCAGAAAGTTTCGTTAATTTTGTTGGAAAACAATTCATTGAATCGGTCTTAACTTTCACCGTTTCTAGGAAATTGCGAAAGGAAAAAAAAAACACTCTCAACCAACGAGGCCAGTTCGGTACTGTTATGCACATTGCGATGATGAAACACCCGGTCCGAGTTGGAATGACTAGCTCGGAGTGGTAGGCGTGGTTCTGCTTTTTCTTAGTCGATATCGTGAGGGATGACAAAATGTTCTCGGAAAACCATCGGCGCTAGGTATTACTTAGAACCTGCAATCATACCGGATTCCAAGCAAAACAAATCCAAAGAAAGTTCTACGAAGATATGTATAACAACTCGTCACCCTCGGTTGGGCGGAATGCTGAGACCGTATGCGGCCGTTAATTTACGATTCACTCAATCAGAAAACCTGACATTTATGTTTCAACGAATTTCTGTAATTCCAGTTAATCCATTAAATTAGGTACCCATGATTCATGAGCGGTTAATGAAAGCTTAGCTAGTAAGGCAAAATACGTGATTGATACAGCACAAACATACACACACACACTTCCGTGGAAACAATTTTTCAAGTATCAAATAAATTAAGTCATCGCAGGTGCTGATGGAAAATATTCAACCCTTCATTAACACTTGAGATCGGCAATAATTCTACAGACTCACTCGTTCACTTTAGCGTTAATTCCAATGTGAAATGCGTGATTTCACGTAAGCCATCGATATTTCAATCTTCGTGGTCTCAAAAGGTGAGCCCATTGAAAACCAATCAACCCGGTAGGACTCGGTCCTGTGTGAACTTCCGCCAAATAACGGCGCCATAAATCACAAACAATTCTATGGAATTGAAGGTGCCTATAACAGAGTAGCTGTTATCACATTTCGATGGGAGTTGTTTTGATAAACAACTCTTATATCCTTTGCGACATACGGCGTTTGTGAAAACGTGAAATGAGTCAAATTTTTTAGAAGATTTCGAAGATCAGGCGGATGCTGGGAAATTATCTTAACTTCTTATTGAAAGGCTATACGAAAATTCTCAAAGTACCGTAGCTGCTTTCTTAAACAATGACTGCACTACCATCAGGTTGGGGAGACTTTGCCCTACCGGTGGAAGTTTGAGTGGAATCCATGGATGATCATAAACACTTTATAAAAATTATAATTTGGCTCCGTAAAGTTTGTTCGACTGAGCCTGTAAAAATATAGCAATTCAATAAACACTTTAGTTCGAAATACACTCACTAAGTGGTGCAAGTGTACATAGATCGCCTAACCCTTGTGATCCTTATAAGACGGAAAGTTGCTGATTCAGCAATGTTGTTCAGATCACAAAGATCCAAAGCATCGAGTGGATTTTATAGTTGAAAATTCTCCCGCATGGCTGCGCTAGTGGTCATGCGAACTTCTTCTACTTGCAATATCTTGCGATCTTGGTTATATTCAAGGTTGCAGTCTTGGGAAATGTTGTTCTTTAGACGAAAACCTTCTTGATGGTGGACTGTTTGGTTGTCAAATCTATCAGTAGCTGACGCTAGTGATCATTGAACTTCTTCCACATGCAATATCTCGTGACCATGGCTAAATATAAAGATTCTTTCTTCAGCAATGATGTTTTCGGCAGCTTAGTATGCAATTATCTCACTAGATCGTGCTAGTGTTCGTGTGAATTTCCCCAATTTGCAATATCTCGGGATCCTGGCTGTACAAGGTTATTGTCTTCGGCAATGTTGTTCAGTAGACGAAGAGCTTCTTGATGGAGTTTAGTTTAGTTCTCTCTCTCTACTTGCTAGCTATCGCCTGCTGTCAATTAAGCGTTATTGAAAGCACTCCTAAAATCACTTTGAGCTGATTAAAAGCTGAATAAACTACTTTTTTTTAGCTGAATAACCTCTAATTCAGCTTTCAATGTTTATTGAGCAAGCACAATGATACTCTATGCACAGAGAAGTGCTTCACCACCGTATTTTAATAGCTCACTTGGCAGTTGATCTACACCAGTTGCTTTGTTGTTCTTCAGCCGACCGATCTCCTCCTCAACTTCTTGAAAATCAGGGGCCGGTTGCCTGTCGTCTTCTGCGCGTGCTCCAAGGTCTGTTGCCGTGCCACCGCCACCTCCGTTTTCTGCTGCATCACCGTTGAGGTACTCGTCATAGTACTGCTTCCACCTGTCAATCACCTCACACTCGTTCGTGAGAAGGTTACCGTCCAAGATGCACTTCCACAGTTGTTATTTGAGAGCTTTTTAAGCCAGCACCATATTTGCATTAGTATAATTGTGTAGCAAGTACAATTTTACTCTATGCCCAGGGAAGTCGAGAAATTTTTCAACCCGAAAATTACCTAGACCGGACCGGGAGTCGAACCCAGCCGTCTCAAGCATGATCTGCTTTATAGTTGCGTCTTTACCGACTGAGCTAACGACGTTGATGAACACTGAACTTCTTCACATTGAAATTCAGTTCGCAATTCTCTCACTAGATGGCTCTATATGAATCCATATATCTCGAGACCCTGGATGTATGCAATCTTACCGCTAACGAAAATTTTGTTCAGAAAACCTAGAGGCTATTGGAATGATGAATAGTTTCGATCAGATTTCTTTCGCTGGGTGACACTAGTGAACATCTAATGTCACTTTAATTGTGATAGAGAGTCACGTTACCTTGTTCGTCATGCAGAATAGGCCTGGATACGTTTTTTACCTGAAGAAACCAGATGCTTTCAAATACATTCGAATGATTCTACGCTTGCTTGAAAAACGTTTTCTGACGCTCAATTTAAGACAGTAATAATCGCGTGGGTCCCAGTCGAAACCAATTTACGGAATACCAATCATAATAGCATTTTGAAGATCCCTTGATTATTATTTTCAAGGAATCTCGAACTGAGATTTTTACATTTGTCGTATGGTCCTGAACCTAGAAATATTTTCAAGATGACGAACGTAAAATTCCTAGGAATATTTCAGGAAACTTGCCTTCGAAACATTTTCATGATGTTAGAATTGGATAGTACCTCGGGCGTAGACCAATACCAATTTGCAATATTCAAAGGTCAATTTATCAGGGCGATCAAACTTGTGAAGATCTTGAAAAATGCTTTGTTTTTCAAGACCTTGAACTGGTCCAAGCTTGATAGAAATCATGCGATCAATTAAATTTGAATACAAAATTCCCTCTGGTGACAAACTTAAGAACTAGCTAAATCAATCGAATTTAGAAAATTTGCACGATTAAGCATGGGAAATTTTAATATTTCAGATTAAACCAACTTCATTTTTTCCAAAATGCCTTCCTGATCTCATGGCATGGAACATTTTTGTAATGCAGACACAAAACATGTTAGGAGCTCATGCTTTGAACATATTTAAAATATTTCAGAAACAGAACATTTTTACGTATTGAAGACTAAGAAGATTTGTTCGTTAATTCGTGATAAGAAAATTTTTAAAATCGTGGGTGTAGAAAACATGCTCTCGATTTTAGAGTTGATAGAAACTCAAGAT